CCCCAAAACCCCAAAACCCCAAAACCCCAAAACCCCAAAACCCCAAAACCCCAAAACCCCAAATAGTATTGCTTTAATTGAATTTTCATAATAAAATCAACAAAATAAAGAAGGAAACTAGTTCCTCTCATTAGTAAGACTCTCAAGGAAGCTCTTTTTAGCATCGTTCCTTCTTCTTTGGGCAATTTTCTTGAGGATGAATAGAGTGACAACGGAAATAATCTCAAAGCCAGCTATTACCATGACTGCGCTGAGAGAGATCCAATTGTGCTTCCTTGCGTATTCTAGATACTCATCAACATAATTAAGGATAAACAAAGTAGTTGGATCTGTACAATCGTCTTTATCTGCTTTAACAACGATAGTATGGAACTTATTGATCAACACAAGACAACTAATCAGGAAGGAAGCTTTCAAGACTACGAAGATAAGACTGATGAATCTCATACCAGTACTAATAATAACGACCTTGTATGTAGCCTTCTGCTCTCCTCTTAAGATCATGCAGTGCCTGATGATAATGAATATAGGAGTAGCTATTCCTACAATCAAGAGACTGAGGAAGCAGATCACCATGAAGAAAAGCTGGGCATTTGCTAGGGTATTTATAGGGTTAAGATTCTCAGCTAATACTTTCCTCTCAGAAGATGAGTCTCCTTCTCATCTCTCATCCCATTTGATATAAGAACGATAGAACAAATAGTAAGTATTTTTAGGGAATTCAGACGTAGGGTACAAAGATAGATCATTAATAGTGTCTCTGAATAGCTTATTGGTATTAAAAATATCTTCCTCGGTGACTGACAGAATAAGTTGCCATCTTTCATCTTGAGTAATTCCGTCAATATTAGAAACACATCCTCGGTAGAAATTAGTATTTAAAAGCTTGTAAATAATCCGATCCTCTCTAATGTTGCTATCTTCAAGGTTAATTCAAGGTCTTGGATCGACAGACTGGGATTCAGACAGAGTCAGTTCGGAGATAGGAAGCCCTCCGCCAGTAGAGGTTGAGTAATATATAGAGTTTCCATCACCTAGTTGCACTTCTTCATAGTTTTGGTCATGTAACTCCTGGTTGTCGCTAGCTTCTTTCTTGATACTTATGATTGGTCAATCATACTGGATTGATACTCATGTCTGCAGATGAGGGTTGCCATCCGGGCCGCATTTTCTATACTCATGAGGTCACTCGTTGTCATCATAAGATGATACCATCCTTGTATCAATAATATCCTGGCCTTTCCTCTCCGCACATATTAATTGATTTGGATAAAATCTTCTGATATACAAGGGATTTGTTTCATTAACTCTAGTTCATCCAGCTTCTGTTTGAATTGTATCACAATCTCCTTTCACGAGAGAGCCCTGGATTTTAGGCTCACGAACAGTGTCACTGCAATAGCATCCCTCAAAAGTGCCAGGCCAGATTGTGCTAGCAATGGGTTCAAAGTTTTCAGGGCATTTTGCCCCATCAGTAGCACTAATTGTCACAATTGGAGTACTCTTCCAGTTAGAAACTAGTTGACTGATTTCCCAGGTCCTCTCACCAGTCTCTTGGTAAGCAAGAATGGAGAATATGAATGTGACACCTGAGTACGCGATTGATAAGAAAGCGAGTGTAATATAAATAATGGATTTAGCTTTCCTGAATTTATCGATACCCTGAAAGTCACCAAAACTGGTTTCAGAGTACCTAGTCTCTGGCTCATCAATGAGGCTTTCTCTATGCTTCCTCTCATGCACTTTCTGCTTATTCAGAAGACTATTAGTAACCCTCATTTTATGGTATTAAATATTATATTTTCTCGTGGGGTTTTGGGGTTTTGGGGTTTTGGGGTTTTGGGGTTTTGGGGTTTTGGGG